AGAGAGAGAGAGAGAGAGAGAGAGAGAGAGAGAGAGAGAGAGAGAGAGAGAGCCTTACCTGGTCTTACCTGTTAATGTTGCAGGGAGGAGAAAAGCAATGCTTTGTTTCTGAAGGCTGACATTGTCTTGACTGGTGTTATTCTTCATTTCGCCAGAGTGATGTTGCGGGATGGCTTTCCATATTGATTAGGTGTTGGAAAGAGAGAGAGAAGAGCTAGGATGATGTTTGTGGAGGTGGCAAGCAGAGAGAGGAATGCCCGGAGGTGGGGGGGAGGCGAAAAGAAACATTGTATCAACTGACTTATTATTTTGATTTAATCCTTCTCCTACTACACTTCTTCCTTTGTCTCGACGCTTGTCTACTTTGCTATCTCTCTGCAATTGTCATTCAGTGAGCAGAGCGAGTTTCCTGAATGATGTTGGCGTGGCTTCTCCCAACTTGCTCATGACACAATCTTTTATCTGGCAAGGAAATCGCTGCTGCTCACCCACGCAGGAGACTCGGACGTTGCGATTGTCATTTCATAACAAGTCAACATTGGCCAATCTCCACACCAGCTAACAAGGTGCCCGAATGGATGAAAGACCTCCCTGGTATCTTATCTGGAGGAAGGCTCCACTTTCTGGTAGTTTTGAGGCCACTGCCAGTTGTCTTCCACTTGAGCAGAGATAGGCAGAAGGGTCACGGTCGTGCGGGGTCGGACTCGGGTGATGGTCGTAAAAGACGTATTTTCTATGATAGTAAAGCCAAATACATCTTTTGATAATTGATAGGATGTGAGCATCCACTTCCAGTTGTATTCCACTTCTGAGGATGTGGTACTGGTGGCTTAAACCACCAGTCCATCCGGGGCTAGATTGACGAACCAAACCTTTCCTTCTACTGCCAGCCTTTGAAAAAAATCTACAGTCACTCCTTCCCACTGAGCCTCTGCTGGGGCTGGGCACTGTAGACTTTGGCCCGGTACTTGTGCACGAGCGAAACCTACAGTGCCGCCTGCGGATGGACTGGTGGTTTAAGGCACATCCACGGAAAGCACCGGGGAACAAGTACCGGGGGATCTTATAAGCTGGCAAGGTTGAGAGGTGGGCGGTGAATGAAAACCGAATAACCTTCAAAGAAGACAGTTTGAGATGCAAAAAACAAACAGGTGCTCGATGAAATATACAGAGAAGCCTCTTTAGTGAGGTGGACGATAACATACAAGCACAAGGCACATCAAATGACGCCTTCCTGATGATGCCTAAAAGTATGAACAACTTAAAGAGAGTATTTACTACTTAGTATTGCTGAACAGGATGGCCAGAAAAAAGGAAAAAAAAGAAGATAGGGGGAGGGAGAGGAGGTGAGGGAGGATACTCCGAAACTGCCTTGGACAAGTGGGATAGGTAGAGAGTGTACAGAGGCAAACATCCCAAAAGGGCCAAAAAGAAATAACCCTACAAAGATTCACCTCTGAAATCATTGTGGTGAAGAAGGAATAGTCAAATTACTAAAATTAGACATACCCAGCAAACTTAGACAAACCATACAGATTGCAACAAATAACTGGTTTTCCGAACAAAAAAAAGAAGACTATGAAGAAACTCCCTTGGCCTTATGAGAGGCATGCGAGCAACTGTTCGCAAAGATCACGAAGCATTGGAGATGGATTCATCTCGAGAATGGATTGTAGTGCTTGGCGTGCCTTCAGCAGCTTTGGCAAAATTTTGCAAAGAATTTGCTCCTCTCCCGAAAGTAGTACACCCAACAGCCGAGTGGCCTGCATACGCTCCTGCATATGAATAAGTCCAAGAAGAAGTTCAAAGAGATCAGCATTAAAAAGAAGACAGAAAGAAATACACCTGGAGCCAACAAGCTCACTTCTGAAGAGTTTCTGCCTACCAATTTTGATATTGCGATGTCCACCAGATCTTTTGAGCAAATGGTTGACTGCAGAACTCTCTCTCTCTCTCTCTCTCTCTCTCTCTCTCTCTCTCTCTCTCTCTCTCTCTCTCTCTGTGTGTGTGTGTGTGTGTGTGTGTGTGTGTGT